CTATCCAGTTAAGGAAAGTAAGCCGAAAATAGTGAGGGGTATTTTGGTCTTTTCCTTACCTAATCAGATTTAATTCATTTTTAGTAATATTTTAGGGGTCTAACCCTATTTTCAGTTTTATAATCCTAAAATTAGCCTAGGGTTTTAGTTGAGAGTTCAAGAAGAGAAAAGAAGAGAAAAAAGGAGAAAAGAGGAGATGATCAAAGCGTTTGTCAAGAGTCTTGCGTTTTGTTGCAGATTTTTACCATGGTTTTAATCCCTAAGAGGTATGTACGCTTCCATAGTGTTGGGTTAGTTCACCAACACACCAATCATGTTATTTTCAGCGAAATTTTATTCTTAAAGTTGAAAGATTTGAGTTCTTAATGAGTTCTTAATAGGTTTTCTTGAAGTTCATTCTAAATCTTGTTGTGTTGGGGTTTTGATGATTTCTTGAGATGAAATATAGTAATTTGAGTGTTGTTTTGAATATATTAGAGTATACTTCTGTTAAGAAATCGAACCCAAGTGATTGGAGAAGAAACTGTTCGATTCTAGGCGAGTTACGGTGAGAAAAAGAGCAAGGAAAATTCATCGGATTTTATGGGTTGGGGCCTGGCGCCTCGCGCCACCCATAGCACTAGGGTCGCCTGCCCCATCCAGTTTATCATCGGTTGCACCGTTTGAGTTCGTTTAAAGTGCACCTTTATTTCTTTTCGATTCTAACTAATCTAACCTACTTCTAAACACCTAAAATCATTCCTAACATGATCATAACCTTGAATTCATAATTCCAATTCAAGGTAGAGTTGAGAGTTAAGTTTTGATAATTCTTTCGAACATTCTAAGAAAGTCCCTTTGAGTCCTTTTGTTGAGTCTTCTAAAACTTCTAGTAACTTATTTCAAGACTCGAGCAAGGGAGTGTGAGGATGAGGAGAATGTACTCATGAATCTACTTGGTCGTTATGAGATCTTTCATATCATGAATCATAACTCTTCAATTCATAATTCACATTCAAGAGAGAGTTAAGAGTAGAGTTCAAAAAAGTCTTTGAGTTCAATTGTGAATCCTTTGAGATCAACTATTGATTTGAACTAAGTTTTTAGGAAGTAAGTATGAGAATGAGAAGAGTTGTATCATGAGTTCCTTGATGTTATGTAGATATGTTAGTCAAGTCGTTTATGTTATTAGATTCAACATGAACTCCAGAGGTTGAGTATCTATGAAAGGAGTAATATCTCCAAGTTCTAAGCCTTTAATAGTTGAGTTCCTAATACCTTTTGAGAAATATCTTTGAGTCCTTGAGTTGAATATTTCATGCTCATAATTTCTAATGAACATTATAAGTCGAACAGTCTTGAAATGAGAAGTATCTTTGAGTCCTTGAGTTGAGTAGTCCATGCTCATAAATCCACATGAATTCTAAGTTGAGCATTCTTGAAATGAGTAGTATCATTGAAGTTCTTGAGTTCCAAGTATTTGAGGTCTATCTATGATTATTGAAAAACCTTGCCTTGAGTCGTTCATGTCCATAATTCGGCATGAACCATATTTTAAGAAGTTTTTTACAAATGTTTTAACTTTGTTTTAAGACTTAAGTTTTGAGTTGAGTAAAGAGTAAAGCGTAAAGTTTGAAGTTCATTTCTTCAAAAGTATATGGGGACTAAGTATTCCCAAAGAGATTTAAAATGTTTTCACATTTAAATAAGAACGGAAACTGAGATTTCCAAGGTGCCTTCGAGCTAGTTTTCAGAAAAGAGTAATCGCTTTCTAAATGAAGCAAGAAGGGAAACTTTTATTTCCAAGATAGCCTTTGAGCTAAGTTTTTGAGCACTAATCTCAAATCAGAGAAGAAGTATGTTTTTAAAACATAAGAGCTAGTATATTTTGGAAGTAGTATTGAGCACCGAATTGGGGATGAGCATGAGTTCAGATAACTTACGTCACCATAAAACCATGTAGCCACCATGGGTAGAAAAGGTTCATATTTTTTAGATGAATCATTTTCAAAATAGACTAGTGGATCCATTATGCAGTTCAGGTCCTATACCTTTGGCCGGGTATATGATGTGCTGGCAGCATGAGGTAGATCGCTGTATAATCATTATACCTCTTATGTGATGGTTGTTGGTTAGAGAAACTCCCACAAAAGTTATTGTATTCTTATATAGACAGTTATTTGTATTTTTACATACATTTCAGAGCTATGTTGTATTCTTGCATACACACAGAGTTGACAGCATGTTTTTAAACAGTTTGTTTCCTTATATTGCACTTGTTTTAAATTGCTTTATATTGAAATGTGTTCAGTCATATTGAGTTGAGTATCCATAGTTGAGTTCCCAGAGTCGAATATCATATCTTTGACTTAAGTATCTTATCTCTGAGTTGAGTATCTTATCCTTGAGTACTTTCGAGTTAAGTAAGTTGAGTAGTTTTGAGTATCCTTGAGTATTCCTTGAGTTAAGTAAGTTTGACAAGAGGTAAGTATGTTTCCTTTTTATCAAGTTTCAAGCTTATGTTTATGCTTTAGAATTTCTCTTACATGCTCGTACATTCCACGTACTGAGCCATTTGGCCTGCATCTTCTCATGATGTAGACACATGTATTCAGGATCATCAAAAGGAGCTTTGTTGATACATCCGAGAGTTCGAGTTAGCTATGGTGAGCCTCCTTGCTTCCGGAGGATTTCATTTACCTTTCAGTTATATCAATTGTTAGGATGTCGTGGGTCTTGTCCCGACTTCCATCTTTGTCAATTAGAATCTTCATAGATAGACAGTAGAGTTTCAAAATGTTTATTCATTTATCTTACTAAATGTTTTAAAGACTTAAGTTGCCTATTTTATGGCGGGTTGAATATATTATTTTTATTCTAAGTTCATTTGAGTTAAAGTTTAAGAAAAGTTGAGTTTAGTTGAATTTTATTCAGTTTTAGGCTTTTGCATGCTTAAGTTAGTCTTTCGCTTGTAGTCATCTAGAATGAGAGTTCGCTTGGGAACCAACAATAGTTCTTGAGTGCCGGCCACATCCAGGTTGTAGACTCGGATCGTGACAATTTCATATTGCGATATGCAATTGCATGTCCAAAATTTTACTTCCTAGAAGACATAATCCCCTATTTCTTCTCATATATCTTCTAATTGAGTAGTCAAAATAGAGGTGAAATTATCTTTCTCATACAACTCTTTTATTCTAAGCTTGTATTTGGACATACGCTATGATATCTTGATTTCAAATTAATATTTGGACAAGCGATTTGAGACTAACTTCTCCAAAAAAAAGTATGATTTTAAATTTCAAACCCTAATTTCATTTTCTTAATGCAAAACTTGACCTACAAGTTTATATTCATAAACCATCATTTTAAATTTTGTAAAAAGGGATTCATGCTCTGCGTGAAAAGATTATTCTACCATGTGAAAGAATTAAATTGAAGAATAACTAACTACCACTACTAATGACCAGTGAATCTTTATAAAATTATGTATATTTGAAAGTTTTTAATCACAAAATATTTATTTATAGAAAAATATATGGAGAAATGTTATTTAACGACGCGGCACTTAGAATATTTCGATATCAAATCATGATTTCACATTGCATGCCCAAACCGATCCTAAGAAAACATTTACTTCAATATAGTATTCATATCGATTTTTAATAACATAATTTAAAAGTAACAAATTAGAGATTGAGTCTACACTAACTGATCATGCATGGTATGGTTATTGCATTTAGTGATTTGATGCAAATATATATTAGAATTACAAGTTTGTTATTTTTTTATTTAGGCATTTTTTTTTATAGATGAATTTTTACTTGCTTTGATACCATATTCAACTGAGTCAATATCTTATTTAAAAGTTTAAATTATTAAAGAAAAAATATTTTTTTATTTATTTAGTCATTTTATCAGGTACTGCTACAAGAAAATCTAATTCTTTACTAAACTAAGAGTGAAAATAAAATAATTAAAAATACATACTCCTTTGTCCTTATTTGTTAAACTAATATTATGAAAAACATTCACCTATTAGGACATAGGACAAAAATACTTAAATGTACTAGGTCATCATATATCTTTTAAAAATATAGTGGCAAAAATTCAATCTCGATTCAACATGGTGGAAGATGTGACGTATAAATCTAAATAAAATACTCATCCTTTAGTACAAAAAAATCAGAATACTTAAATTCTTATGTTTTATAAATTTAAAAAATATTTTGTGAAAAAAAGAAAACTTTATTTATGTATTGTATTTTACGTTCTGAAAAACATTATGTATGTGATTTTTTCTTTAATAAATTAATGAATGTTGTGTAGAAAAAATAAAAAATTCACACCTATTATGTTTTTTAGTATTTAATTTACTTGGAATTAAATTATTTTTTAAAATTTGATAATAATTTGTTTGTTTATAAATAAAAATCTAATTAAGTTGACAAAAAAATGAACATGCTATTTTATTATCAATTTTTTTTTTCAGATGAAGAAACAAAAGCGTGTTTTCAATGCGAAACAAATACATTTTTTTCTAAATAAAAAATTTTAAAAATTAAACAACAAACTCATAAGAATATAACAAAAAATTTATACTTTGTTAAATACTTAAATTATAAAGTATTTTTTAGAAAAAAATAAAATTGAATGAATAGAAGACAAAGCTAGAAAACATTATGATATATTCATTTCATAGTCAATATACAAATTTACCCACTTTTTCTTCGTTCTAATATTGCATAAAGCAATTAATCAAACAAGTCACAGTGTTACTCATCAAGTAACTAGATAACCAGATGAAAATAAAACTGACACAATTCATTAAAATAAAAATCTTTAAAATTCAGCTTTAATTCTTCCTTCTTTTTACTAATGTAAAAAAAACATACTAGAGATTAATTAACATAACTTTATGCTAATAAAATAAAGATTGCTTCTTAGCTAATATTCATCCTTAGTAATAACACCAACATGAGTCACACAGAATAGTCTCATGGACTATAGATATTATCAGGTCAAGGATAATAGTAGAAAACGGGCCTTCTGATGTACTGAACTGGCACAAATCGATTATTGAAAGGATGAAAAATAACTGGTGCATTTCCACCACCATGTGGATTAACATGTGGGTGAAAGAAGCGAGATCGAAGTATTGGAGGAAGATACAATGATTGACTATTCATTCGATGAAAACTCCTAAAACATCCACAATTAGCACAAATATATTCTTCTTTAGTTCCATCATCACCCTTCTTCACAAATTCACGACATCCATCAACTGAATAGTCACCAAAATTAGCAGCATGGATTTTTAGGTATAAACCATATTTTATCATCATATCACCACTTGGATTTGAGCTTGAATTGTTTGCCATTTGCTTGATTTTTTATTTTTGCTAAAGACTTAAGAATGAAAATTTTGTTTTTCTTTTTTGTGTTGTGTTTAAACTCTCTTAAATAATGTGTGTAACAGGCTTCATTAATTGCTTGTTTGACATAAATATAATCATGATATTATCTATAGTAGAAATGAATTTATTTTAGTATATTTGCATTAATACTATGTGTACAAAATGTTTGAAAAGATATATACAGGTAAGAAATATTTAAGTAAGTTGATATATATATATATATATATATATACATGACATATTATACATCTATTAATTTGATGTATATATTTAGGGTCCGTTTGGATATGTGATATGAAATCATGATTTGAAATTATGAGATGAAGTTGAAGTTTTCTTTGGACATTTAATGTTGTTTGTTTTCTCATAATCATAAAACCCTATAACTTGTAAAGTCTCACTTCTTTATACAATCTTAAAAAATTAGCAAAAGTTTATTAAATTGCATAATACACTATCACAAAGCTATTCTAAAATATTAAAACATTTATTGACCAAACTTTATTTCAATTAAAAAAAAAACTAAATATAAGTTGTAGTGTCTAGTATTTATTATAATTATCCCACATACTACAGAAAATCTTCTCACATTGAACTTGCTTTTTTTAATTATATGACAGAGAATATGAAATAACATTGTTACTTTGAGTCATTTTTTGGTCAATTTGGTTTGTAAATAAATTTGATAAAAAATAATGAATTTGGTAATATAAATGGTAGAGTATGAATTGATTTAAAGTAATAATAAATTTTATGTTGGTAACAATAATTGTTATATGAGATACAAATGGTTTTAAAAGTAATGATGTGAATTATATATTTTATGTACATATGAAATAAAATGATTAGTAGATATAAATGTGGGTAGTTTTTACAAAACTTAAACTTCTGGGTCAATTTTTGAATTTGAAAATTTTCAAATCATGATTTTTGAATAATTTGAGATTTCATCTCATTATATGAAATCAACTTATTGGGATATGAAATTGCATGTCCAAATTTTACTTCTTAGAAGACATAATCCCCTATTTCTACTGATATATCTTCTAATTGAGTAGTCAAAATAGAGGTGATATTATATTTCTCATACAACTCTTTTATTCTAAGCTTGTATTTGGACATACTCTATGATATCTTTATTTAAAATTAATATTTGGACATGCGATTTGAGACTAACTTCTCCAAAAAAAGTATGATTTTAAATTTCAAACCCTAATTTCATTTTTTTAATGCAAAACTTGACCTATTTGTTTATATTCATAAAGCATCATTTTAAATTTTATAAAAATGGATTCATACTCGGCGTGAAAAGATTATTCTACCATGTGAAAGAATAAATTAAAGAATAACTAACTACTACTACTAATGACCTGTGAAACTTTATAAAATTATGTATATTTGAAAGTTTGTAATCACAAAATAATTATTTATAGAAAAATATATGGAGAAATGTGATTTAATGATGCGACACTTAGAATATTTCGATATCAAATCATGATTTCACATCGCATGCCCAAACCGATCCTAAGAAAACATTTACTTCAATATGGTATTCATATCGATTTTTAATAACTTAATTTAAAAGTAACAAATTAGAGGTTGAGTCTACACTAAATGATCATGCATGACATGGTTATTGCATTTAGTGATTTGATGCAAATATATATTGGAATTACAAGTTTACTATTTTTTTAATTTAGGCATTACTTATTTAGTTTTTTTATAGATGACTTTTTACTTGCTTTGATACAATATTCAACTGAGTGAATATCTTATTTAAAAGTTTAAATTATTAAAGAAAGCATATTTTATTTATTTATTTAATTGTACTATCAGGTACTGCTACAAGAAAATCTAATTTTTTACTAAACTAAGCTTTTGTCACGACCCAACCTACAGCGCAGTGCGGGAACCTACACACTAACACCTAAGTAGGAGAACCGCATATCCCAATAGTTAAAACATGCGGAAGATTAACGAAAAACAGAGATAAAAGAAATCATAGGGTTTTCATAATTAAAGCTTTTAAACAATTTCAGGTTAAAATTTGTAAAGTAACTAACACCTCCAAGATTCTAGTCTAAACAGGTACAAGAGCTACTAAGAGTACAAACTGGACATAATAAATAAAAGACACCGCTCCCACCATGCGGAAGGAAAAGTAGAACCTGCTGGAGAATTCTTCGTCTTCATCTAATGAAACATCACCAACCTGCATCCAAACTATGCCAAAAAGACATATCAAGAGTTGTATTAGTACAAACCACACGTACTGGTAGGAAACATCGGTCAACGTAACGCTCACCACATAACATAAGAAATCAACTAGCATGAACATGCACTAAATCACTCACTTCTCCACCTTTACCCTCTTTTGAATAATTCAGCATTACACTAGTACCCTTACTACTAACCACCTTCCCATTCAACCTACTTAGTAGGTTTTTTATCATAGCCTAACCATTCTAATGCATAGAAAAGTTCACGGATACAACTACAAGCATCTCGACTAACCACCCACGACATACTCTTACTTTCTCTTTTATATTGCTCAGTCCTTGCCACATGGCATATCATATCAAGCCTTTTAACTACTAACTATGAACCCCTTTCCCCAAGGTGAAATTCAATTAAGTATTTACAACATGCACACTTCCTCCACTTCTCACCCTTGCAACATACAGACAACCCTTGTCTCTCAAACCTTAACAATCCTTGAGCTCTTGGCCCTTCCCGTTTCATTCAACAACGAGATACATAACGGGTTAAATCAACATAATAGAACAAACATATATAGGTCATCATAATCATTTAACCTTCAGGGTCAATGCAATGTCAATACCATTAAGAACTACGTACAACTTCACAATTTCAAGGTATACAATTATGCCAAGTCATTGGTTCTCTCATGGAACCCAAACTCAAACTGTTAGCATACCGAAACGTGGTACCCGATCCAATGTTTATACCGAAACGTGGCAATCGATCCCATAATTATGCCAAAGCGTGGCAACCGATCCAAGTTAATGTGTCGGAACGTAACACCCGATCCATTCAATAAGCCACAATCACATTTACAAAGTAGATTCTCATAATCATATAATCAAGTCATGATTCATGGAATTCATCATTCATATATCCTCATTTACAATTAATGTGATTAATAATACAACATTTACATACATACATGTATCATAATGAAGCAAGAACAAACAATTACAACCATCACGTACAAACTATTCATTGATGTATATCATATAAACATTAACTCGACCATACCCAGCCCTAGTTCAGCATCTAAGGCTTCTTCCTATGATTTAATCATCTTTTGTTCGGTGCACGAAGGCCTACGCATGAATCCTACCATTGATCATCATCATACTACTCAGTGGGGCACAAATTTATAACTACTCAATTAAAAAACCTAGCCTACCTGGGCGCCAAGTAGTTGCACGGAGTTTTGGTCTTCGATTCTTGTTTTCGGGACTCATGAGGTGGTCTTGATCGGAAATCCGCAATCTATCGATATCTTTACCCTAGAAATCTCTCTCCCCATTTTTCCCAAGCTTGGAGTAGCTTTTTGGGGGTTTCTAGGGTGTTTTACGACTAATTTAGGTATTTTAGGAAGAAGGAGGAAATAAGAATTCACGTTATTTACATTATGTCTCACCTATCCCGCCCTAGAGACTACTTGCCCCACTGTGGTGCTGCCGCACTAGTGGCATCTGGCTTGCCCTGGCGGGGCAATGGCCTAGAATTTCCCAAATTTTTGCGTTTTCCAAGTAACGACGGTTCGGGTCGCTACAATAGATACCAATTTACCCCTTGTTCGTCCCCGAATGACTAGTTCACGAACATCACACACTCTAAATTCAGAACTCATCTAACTATCGAATTGGTCCATTACGGAAACCACGACGGATGGTGACTTTTCAAATTTTGACACACGAAAGGTACTATACCCAAAAGGATTAGAAGAAATTAGAGGCAACATACAACGAAAGAACACGTCCAAATTTTATAGACTGACCCCGCCCGGGAGGCAACCCTTTCGCTAAGGTGGGGCCGCTGTGGTGACAAATCTCCTGTTGTAGCAGGAGATCGAAAACAGGAAAGGGGGGAAAGGGGAATTGTTTCCCCCTTTCTTCCTCCTCACTCCCATAACACCCAGAAATCTCTCAGCCACTCCCTTCTGAACGTCGAAATTTAGGTAATTTACGCATTCCTTACGCTATTTACTTCGATACTTGAGTAACATCAATTTCCTGTTGCTATTTAATTGGTTAGAAATGGTTGTCGGGTGGTTATTCAAAAATTGAACTTACGTTGATAGTTTGGTTAAAATAATGTAGCATAAATCCTTTCCTTACGTCCCCAACGCCTCCACAACGTCCTGGGCATAAAGATTTCGTAAAAAAAATGATCGAATCAGTACCAATACGAGTGGGGGAAGTTGAAGGGTCTCTTGATACAAAACTCGAATTTTGGCACTACTTAGGGGTTATTTTGCTGAAATAATTGCATATTTAAGTTCTAGGGTAGTTATTATACTCTGATCTGCTGAAATTCTATCGAAATAGGGATTTTGGGGTGAAAAGGCGCCATGATCGCGCCTGGTGTTTTTCCCAGATGAAGGTCACTCTGGCGATCTTCATTCTGATTGTGGAGGCCTCCATCATCCCGATCTAGCGGGTTTTGACCGTTGTTGCGGGATATGCCAGACCAGTGGCATCCCTTAATTCAGAAATTTATCCTTTCTCATTTTAACCAGATTTTGCTTAATCCCTTGATGTTCTAACGTATATTTAACTTCTTGCAGGCTCTTTAAATGGCAGGTCTAAATGAGGAAAACTTCGGTTACCCGATGCTGCGAGTCGGGAAATGCATCATGACAATAGAAATACAGGATTCTACTGTGAGAGAGGCTTCGTTTTACTCAAGCTGGAGGAGAAGACATACCTTTT